GCGCGAAACGGGCACGAAACGTTCCTTTCCAAAACCGGAGTCAACGAAATCAACAAATAAACAAATTTACCTCTCCAATACAATTTATTCATTTGCTCTTCCGTTTTTTGAAAAACAAGTCACCGTTCGATTCATCGTCAGTGCGCGAAAAAAAAAACGAAGCGCGTTGCATAATTGCGTTACGAGTTTTTTTTTTAATTTCGTTTTGACTTGTTTTCGCGTTTTCCTCATCGACGATCAACAAACAGGGGAGCGTGTGTAATCAAACAACGGGTTTGTTGCTATAACAACGACGTTGCTAATAGCAACAATTCGTCATCTTCGTCATGTTCAAGGTCGATCGTATGACGGTGTCGATTCAATTCTGTTTTGAAATTGTGACGTGCCAAGTCGAGATTTTGTTTTATATTATATTTCGTTTAATACATTTGTTATTCAATAAATAAAAGCAATAAATTACGTAATCTATACACGAGTGAAAATGGTATGATAAAACCAGGTGGATTCGCTGATAAAATCGCTGATTACGTTTTGCAATTTGCGATAATCGTAGATTATTTCTCAAAAGTTAGTTATTTTTTTTTCTTTCTATTTTTTTATATAATAGAAAAAAAAAATATAGAAAGATTAACTAACTAAAAAAATTAAATTATTTAAACAATTAGATTACAAGTATATTTAGAAATAATTTCCATTAAAATCAATTTGTTTTGGTAATGATTCAACCGGATAATTTGTACGTTAAATATTTGTACTGCGAGTAGATTATTTGTGGTGATGATTAAATTTTATCACATTATGTTAACATTTCCTATTCGTCAACTCTTCTAATTCATTCACGGATTGTAATAATTCTCAATGGTTCTTTCTCGTATGCAATTAACAACAAAAATCAAATATTACAAAGTGCTTTGTTACTTTCCATTTTGCGTGATAAAATTTCAGTTGTCATTTGTATTTCAGTAATCTGTATTAACGTTGCTAAGGTAACATTAACAATATTGTTAGATTGTTAGTGTATCCTTAGATTTCCACAAGGATCAGCACTAGGTCCTATTTTCGTTGTCCTCAAGGAACGATACTGGTTTCCATTTTCATATTGCTTTTTTGATGAAATTTGTAGGAAATCGCTTGAAGTAATTTCTGATTAATAGCGCAATGATAGTCAATTAAAACAAAACAAAACAAAAAAAAAGAGTAAGATTTGAAAGCCCACTTATTGCCTTTATAAATAGACATAATAGTATCAATTCGTGACCCAAACGATGCACTAGTTCTGTAAAACATAAATTACGAAGACGCTGTTTATCGCCTCCTAACAAAGATAAAGACCGAAACGCGAAGCTTTCAATATACTTAAATAAAGTATTAAAACTTAAAGATATATATTTTTTTTATTATTTTCCAATGCTCGAATGCATAGAAATGAGAATTTGTTTAAGTAAAATGCATTGAAAAGAAAGAACGGAATGGAATAGATATGAAGTTTTTGTGTATGAAATCACGTTCCATCAAAAGCCGTGTAAATATGTAGGTACGTACCACGAAGTAGACCAGGAATTCCAAACTTAAATCGGTCAATCAAATATATACATTTCGGTTGCGTTTCAAAGTTCAACTTCAAAAAAATACAAATGTTTCTAATAAGTAGATGATAAATATTAGTCATTCGGAATTCATATTTCGTGAATGCTTTGAACAAAAGCGTTGGTATGGAGATAATAAAATCAAGTGAAATTAGTTAAACAAAATTGATATAATTGTATAGTTGTTGCCATGGAAATGTAATAATTAAACAAAGTTGCTACTAAAATGCTAAATAAAAACAAGGTTGGTATTAAATATCAGATTTGAAGATCTGGTGAGAAATTGGAAACAATTGTAGTACAACATTTAAATGTTTGAAATGTTGGTATCATGTGAAAATGACAGTAATTTGAAATACAATGAAAACGAGTATGATACTTTGACATTTGTAGATCACAGTGTTTCATAAATTTGACATTTATTACAATGAATCGTTGGTA